GTAGTAACAACAGAACAGCAACAACAGTAGTAACAGCAGAGCAGCACCTGCAGCAATAACAGCGGCAACAACAGTAGTAACAGCAGAACAGCAACAACAACAGTAGTAACAGCAGGCACAGCTACAGCAATAACAGCGGCAACAACAGTAGTAACACAGAACAGCAACAACAAACAGTAGTAACAGCAGAGCACAGCTACAGCAATAACAGCGGCAACAACATAGTAACAGCAAACAGCAACAACAACAGTAGTAACAGCAGAGCAGCAGCTGCAGCAATAACAGCGGCAACAACAGTAGTAACAGCAGAACAGCAACAACAACAGTAGTAACAGCAGAGCAGCAGCTACAGCAATAACAGCGGCAACAACAGTAGTAACAGCAGAACAGCAACAACGACAGTAGTAACAGCAGAGCAGCAGCTACAGCAATAACAGCGGCAACAACAGTAGTAACAGCAGAACAGCAACAGCAGCAGTGGTAGTAACAACAGAACAACAACAACAGTAATAACAGCAGAACAGCAACAGCAGCAGTGTTAGTAACAGCAGAACAACAACAACAGTAATAACAGCAGAACAGCAACAGCAGCAGTGGTAGTAACAACAGAACAACAACAACAGTAGTGGTAATAACAGCAGAACAGCAACAGCAGCAGTGGTAGTAACAGCAGAACAGCAACAGCAGCAGTGGTAGTAACAGCAGAACAGCAACAACTCAAATATAACACTAGAAGAAAACATTCGTAGTAGGACAACAACAACGACAACAGGACAACAACGACACGGACAACAACAACAACAAACAACAACAACACAATAACGACAAACACAACTACCAAAACAACAACTACAAGACAACATAACGACAGACAACAACGACAACAAAAAGACAACAACGACAACAACAACAACGACAAGACAACAACAACAACAACAAGACAACAACAAAACAACAACGACAACAACAACGGCAAGACACGTACAAAACAACAACTACAAGACAACAACAACAAGACAACGATAACGACAAGACAACAACAACAAGACAACGATAACGACAAGACAACAACGAAAACAACAAAAAACAAGACAACAAAACAACAACGACAACAACAACGACAAGACAACAACAACAAGACAACGATAACGACAAGACAACAACAACGACAAGACAACAACGACAACAACAAAAACAAGACAACAACAAAACAACAACGACAACAACAACGACAAGACAACAACAACAAGAGAACAACAACGACAAGACACAACGACAACAACAAAAACAAGACAACAACAAAACAACAACGACAACGACAACGGCAAGACAACAACGACAAGACAACAACTACAAGACAACAACAACAAGAAACGATAACGACAAGACAACAACAACGACAAGACAACAACTACAAGACAAAAACAATAAGACAATGACAAAACAACAAGAAGACAACAACGACAAAACAACAAAAACGACAAGACAACAAGAAGACGACAAGGCAACGACAACAACCACGACAAGACAACAGCAACGACAAGACAATAACAAAAGACAAGACGTGTACGAAATGGTATATAATACCGACAAGATGAGATAAGACACATGTGCAACATCTGGGTATCTTAATTGTAGACGTTTCGCCATCCAGTGGCTTTATCATGCGAACAGCACCTGACGTTACTATATAAGCGCCAGGATTCTTTCTTCTGCTTCAGAATCTCCACGACTATGGTGCTGTTCGCACCCACTTCTAGTTTGAGGGACTGATTACCTCATCTTCTGTACATATTCACTGTCTCAAGTTATGTCTAAATTGTATTGATAAAGCCACTGGAGCGAAATCTACAATAAAGAATACCAGATGTTGCACATGTGTCTTACTCTCAAAAAGACAAGACAACAACAACAAGACAACGGCAAGACAACAACAAGAAGACGACAATAACAAGACAACAACAACGACAAAACAACACAATAACAAGACAACGACAACAGCAAAACATTGCTGAGTGTCCTTTACCGTTCACCTGAAAGAAAGTGCAACACATTACTGAGGTACACACATTACTAGGTGCACACATACCTGAGTGCACACATTACCGAGGTGCACACGTTACCTGAGGTGCACACATTACCTGAGGTGCACACGTTACCTGAGTGCACACATCTACCTGAGGTGCACACATTACCTGAGGTGACACACATTATCTGAAGTGCATACATTACCTGAGTGCACACATTACCTGAGGTGCAACACATTACCTGAGGTGCACACATTACCTGAGGTGCACACATTACCTGAGGTGCACACATTATCTGAAGTGCATACATTACCTGAGGTGCACACATTACCTGAGGTGCACACATTACCTGAGGTGCACACATACACTGAGTGCACACATTACCTGAGGTGCACACATACCTGAGGTGCACACATTACCTGAGTGCACACATTACATGAGGTGCACACATACCTGAGTGCACACATTACCTGAGGTGCACACATTACCTGAGGTGCACACATTACCTGAGGTGCACACATTACATGAGGTGCACACATTACCTGAGTGCACACAATTACCTGAGGTGCACACATACCTGAGTGCACACATTACCTGAGGTGCATACATTACCTGAGTGCACACATTACATGAGGTGCACACATTACCTGAGGTGCACACATTACCTGAGGTGCACACATTACCTGAGGTGCACACATTACCTGAGGTGCACACATTACCTGAGGTGCACACATTACCATGAGGTGCACACATTACCTGAGGTGCACACATTACCTGAGGTGCACATATTACCTGAGGTGCACACATTACCTGAGGTACACACATTACCTGAGGTGCACACATTACCTGAGGTGCACAATTACCTGAGGTACACAAATTACCTGAGGTGCACACATTACCTGAGGTGCACACATTACCTGAGGTGCACAAATTACCTGAGGTACACAAATTACCTGAGGTGCACACATTACCTGAGGTGCACACATTACATGAGGTGCACACATTACCTGAAGTGCACACATTACCTGAGGTGCACAAATTACTTGAGATGCACACATTACCTGAGGTGCACACATTACCTGAGGTGCACACATTACCTGAGGTGCACACATTACATGAGGTGCACACATTACCTGAGGTGCACACATTACCTGAGGTGCACACATTACCTGAGGTGCACACATTACCTGAGGTGCATACATTACCTGAGGTGCACACATTACATGAGGTGCACACATTACCTGAGGTGCACACATTACCTGAGGTGCACACATTACCTGAGGTGCACACATTACCTGAGGTGCACACATTACCTGAGGTGCACACATTACATGAGGTGCACACATTACCTGAGGTGCACACATTACCTGAGGTGCACATATTACCTGAGGTGCACACATTACCTGAGGTACACACATTACCTGAGGTGCACACATTACCTGAGGTGCACAAATTACCTGAGGTACACAAATTACCTGAGGTGCACACATTACCTGAGGTGCACACATTACCTGAGGTGCACAAATTACCTGAGGTACACAAATTACCTGAGGTGCACACATTACCTGAGGTGCACACATTACATGAGGTGCACACATTACCTGAAGTGCACACATTACCTGAGGTGCACAAATTACTTGAGATGCACACATTACCTGAGGTGCACACATTACCCGAAGTGCACACATTACCCGAGGTGCACACATTACCTGAAGTGCACACATTACCTGAAGTGCACACATTACCTGATGTGCACACATTACCTGAGGTGCACACATTACCTGAGGTGCACACATTACCTGAGGTGCACACATTACCTGAGGTGCACACATTACCTGAGGTGCACACATTACCTGAGGTGCACACATTACCTGAGTTGCACACATTAACTGAGGTGCACGCATCACCTGAGGTGCACGCATCACCTGAGGTGCACACATTACCTGAGGTGCACACATTACCTGAGGTGCACACATTAACTGGGGTGCACGCATCACCTGAGGTGCACACATTACCGGAGGTGTACACGCCACCTTAGGTGCACACATTACCTGAGGAGCACACATTACCTGAGGTGCACACATTAACTGAGGTGCACACATCACCTGAGGTGCACGCATCACCTGAGGTGCATACCTCACCTGAGGTGCACATAACATTACCTGGGGTGCACACATTACCTGAGGTGCACACACATTACCTGAGGTGCACACATTACCTGAGGTGCACACATCACCTGAGGTGCACACACATTACCTGAGGTGCGCATATCACCCGCGGTGCACACATCACCTGAGGTGCACACATCACCTGAGGTGCACATAACATCACCTGAGGTGCACTCATCTCCTGAGGTGTACACATCACCTGAGGTGCACACATCACCTGAGGTGTACACATCACCTGAGGTGCACATAACATTACCTGAGGTGCACATAACATTACCTGAGGTGCACACATCACCTGGGGTGCACATAACATCATCTGAAGTCTACCTGGAGTCTACTTGGAGTCTACCTGGAATCTACCTTTCACTCTCATCCTCACTCTATATTGCGGGTATAAATCTTGTGGGGTATGAAGGAGTGTGGGTGGGCTAGAAAGGTTGAATGGGTGGGTGGAGTGGGCGAAGAGGAGAGGGACTGCCCACTGAGAGGTCTATACACACTCGCTGGTAGTTAGTTGGGTCTAACCTTCCACACACATTAACTTTAAAGACCACCCTGGTCTGTGACCTTTGTTGCTGAGATGTCTTTATTGAGGCTGAGCAGAGGGGGGGCAGCGTGCCCCCTGCTGTGTGTGTGTGTGTGTGTGTGTGTGTGTGTGTGTGTGTGTGTGTGTGTGTGTGTGTGTGTGTGTGTGTGTGTGTGTGTGTGTGTGTGTGGTGCGTGTGTATGTGTGTCTGTATTCACCTCATACCCAGTATACAGGTGGCCACTCACCCCGGTAGTACACAAGTGGCGGGTCACTCACCTGGTCAGTGACGTCAGCGTCCATGGCTGGTACCCGGCCGATGGGACCCACTGGGAAGTGATTCTTGAAGTTGTTGAAAATGATGCGGAAATCTGAGAGTACTGGAGCGTTGTCGTTGATGTCCACGACGTGTACCGTGACGGGGATGTCCGACCGCAGCGGCGACGACGTCGCCCGCACGTTAAGTTGGTACTTCTTCTTCGGGGACTCATAGTCAAGGTCGACGCGGGTGACGAGTTCAGCGCGGCCCTCTGACGGATGAGCCACCATGCTAAAGTTCTTAGCGTCTGGTCCACCAATGATGCTGTACTGGATGAGAGCATTGCGGCCAGCATCAGGGTCCCTGGCCCGCACCTCACCCACCGTCGACCCCACGGGAGAGTTCTCCGCTATGTACAGCTGTATGCGGTCCGTGTCGAACATAGGAGGGTTGTCGTTGATGTCTTCGACGTCGACCAGCACCGTCACTGATGACGATCGCTCCGGGGCGCCGCGGTCCACCGCCATAGCTACCAGAGAGTACTGCTCCACAGTCTCGCGGTCCAGCACGCGAGCGGTTCTTACCACGCCAGAGGTCGGGTCTAGGGAGAAGGCTCCGTTACCATCGTTACCGCCGACGAAGGAGTACACAACTCTGCCGTTGAGTCCAGCGTCGGCGTCACTGGCTTTAATCTGTATGATTGACGCCCCCACCGATGCGTCCTCTGGCACGGACGCTCTGTATGACGCCTCACTGAACACCGGGGCGTTGTCGTTGACGTCGACGACAGTGATCTCAACGTCTGTGGTGTCAGACAATGCTGGGGTGCCGTTGTCGCGAGCTGTGACAGTGAGCAGGTAACCGCCCTGGGCTTCCCGGTCTAGGGGCTTGGTGGTGGTGATAGCCCCCGTGCTGGGGTGGATGATGAACTCGGGGACTGACTCCCCGCTGAGGGAGTAAGTAATGCGAGCATTTTCTCCCGTGTCGCCATCTGAAGCTGCCACCATGATCACCGTGCTGCCTTCCGGTGCGTCCTCAAATATAGTGGCGGAATACGGTGTGTTTTCGAACTGCGGTGGAAAGGTGTTAGCGTCGCTAACGTTCACGTAGACGGTGGCGGTATCATACCGTCCGCCGGCATCAGTCGCCGTCACCGTCAATATATAACTTCGTTCTTGCTTATAGTCAAGTGGCTGCGCCAGGGAGATCAATCCTCGACCATTCTGCGCAGTAATGGAAAAGCGACCTCGCTCGTTGCCTGAGGTTATAGCGTAGTGAAGTCTCGGGTTCTCGTCTCTGTCTGTGGCTGTGACTGTCACCACAGGAGTCCCGGGGTAGTCGCTCTCGCTCACAGCAACTTCGTAGTTCTTCGGCTGAAAGGCGGGGTCGTTGTCGTTCTGGTCTTGGACCTGAAGGATGACAGTGGCAGAGGCCGACTGTGGTGGGTCTCCGTGGTCCCTCGCCACCACTGTGAAGGTGTAGTGGTGGTTCTCCTCCCTGTCCAACTCCCTGCGCGTCAACACCCATCCTGTCGTCTCCTCCACCTCCACAGGGAGGTTCTCACCGCCCCCCTCTACGTTATACGTCAGGAGAGAGTTATCACCGGCGTCGTTGTCGAAGGCCTGGACGCGGACGATGGAGTAGCCGACGGGGACGTTCTCCTGGACGGTCTCCTGGAAGAGCGGAGTGTAAAACCTGGGAGAGTTATCGTTGACGTCCCTGATGTTGACCAGGAGCTGCGTTGTGTTGGACCGCGGGGGCGACCCACCGTCCTGGGCGCGGACCACAAGGCGGTAATGACGGTTGGTCTCGTGGTCCAGCGGGGCAGCTACGCGGATCTCACCCGTTAATCCATCAATCGTAAAATGTCCAGCGGTGTTGCCGCCAATTATTGCGTATCGTACTTGGCCGTTCTTGCCGCTGTCATGGTCGCTGGCCTGAACGTGCGCGATGACCGGAGATGCGGCGGCGCTGATGTCCTCAGGCACCTCCACTGTGTAGGTCCGCTCCGTAAACTGCGGGTAGTTGTCGTTTTCGTCCATGACAGTGACGGAGATCTGGGCCGTAGCAGTGAGACGGTGCTGGGCTGGACCCTGGTCCTCGGCCTGCACGGTCAGGGTGTACTGGGAGTGTTGCTCCCGGTCCAGGGGCAGACGGGTCGACAGTTCGCCAGACTTAGGGTCTATACGAAACACTTCGTTGGCACCGGAGGGATTTAGTATGGTGTATCGGAGGTCGGCATTTGGTCCGGCGTCCTGGTCGGTGGCGCGGACGGTTAGGACGGTGGACCCGACGCTCGTGGACTCACGAACCGACGTGTCGTATTCCTGACGTTCGAATACGGGTTCATGGTCGTTGGCGTCGTCAACATTAATCTGGAGAGTCGTGGTGGCTGAGCGGGGCGGAGACGACGCCTTGTCGACTGCCTTGACTCGGAAGTAGTGCACGTCGACAAGTTCTCTGTCCAGACGAGTCTTCGTAGTGACGAGGCCGGACGTGGGGTCGATCTCAAACATCCTCTGCGAGCGAGCGTCCAGCACCGCCTCGATAGAGTACGTCAGCGGTGCATTCTCCGGGTCCGTGGCCGTGACCGTGGTCACGGACGTCCCCTTTTCCGACTCCTCCACCACATGTGCTACCTCCAGCGTACGCTCGAAGTACGGCGCCGCCGTCTGCATCTGCCGACGTATACGACGGATGTGGGCGCCATCGCCAGCTGCGGCGTTGTGCAGCACCAGCAGGAGGTCGTGGTCGTACGTCGGGGTCAGCCCTGAGCATGTGACCTTCAACCCCAGCTTGATTCTGGTGACCCGCGTCAGGCAGGTGTCGAAGAGGCTGACCAGGTCCCCACCGTGAGTCTCCACGGTAACCCGGTGGTCAGAGACCGAAGTGTAGTCCAGCCTGCAGTGTTGCAGACTCCGTGGCAGCAGCGAGGGGATCCTGAGGATCACCTGGGAGCGTCGGACACACAACCACTCAGGATCACCTGGGTTGGGATCAGGCAGCGGCAGGGAAAGTGCCGCCTGGTCAACCCAGTGTCTCACTTCCCTCTGAAGGATGGCACTGTGGTGGCGGCACCCGTCACCCGTCACCAGCACCCGCACCGGCAGTGACGCATAGTCCAGCGGTGCCCCCGCCCACTCCGCCCACGCCTCCACCCACAGGGTAATGGGGTTGGTATAGAAGGTGCCCGCACAGTCGAGCGGTCGCTTGACCGTGACCGCACCGCTAGTGCGGTCCACGTGTAACAGTCTGTGGACGTGGGTGGGCGTCCTACGGGTGTCCAGCTTGTAGTGGGTAGGACCGTCCATGGCGGAGAGGAAGATGGTGCTACCCACGGGCGTAGTGTCAGCAACTACCACCAGGAAGCCCCAGGCTGGCGCCACCACCACCCCAGCTACCACCACCACTAACAACAACAACCACCACATAACTCACACCAACAAACACGACAAACACATTGAAACACCGATTAGCGCGGGGTGGGCAGTGGGGGGGAGGGGTACACTAGTGGCAGAGTTGCAGGTGTTGAAGCAGGGCAAGAAAACTGGGCATGGTTGCAAGGGCGTGGCCTGGGGACACTGACTCTTGCATCCTGGGGGAGAGCGGAGCAGCACACCACCGCCCCTCACACTCTCTCACTCCACACTGGAAGCTTTCTGCAATACGAACCCCCTTATAGCCCCCTCTCAGCCCCTCACAACACAAAATACCAACCATTCCCAAATTCCCCAACTAGACCCCCCTCACAGTACCCCCAATACCCCAACCACTAGCCTTAGAATCACCCACCAAGACGGTATATGTACGAGTCTACGGTAACTGGTAGATTTTTTGGAATGAAGAGTGAGGTAGATGGCGGTGTCTGGAAGATCCAGTCAGGTCCAGTCACTCTAGCGGGTGTTGCCAACACGTGGACACGTATTTTGTTACTCACAAGTCAGGTTCAACGTAGCTTCAATGGAGCAAGTTGATGGCGCTGGTGTTATAGTGGTGCTGATGTTAATGGTGCTGGTGTTGGTGGTGCTGGTGCTATAGTGGTGCTGGTGTTGGTGGTGCTGGTGCTATAGTGGCGCTGGTGTTATAGTGGTGCTGGTGTTTGTGGTGCTGGTGTTAGTGGTGCTGGTGTTATAGTGGTGCTGGTGTTATAGTGGTGCTGGTGTTATAGTGGTGCTGGTGTTGGTGGTGCTGGTGTTAGTGGTGCTGGTGTTATAGTGGTGCTGATGTTTAGTGGTGTTGGTGGTGCTGGTGCTATAGTGGTGCTGGTGTTGGTGTCGCTGGTGTTATAGTGGTGCTGGTGTTAGTGGTGCTGGTGTTAATGATGCTGGTGTTAGTGGTGCTAGTGTTAGTGATGTTAGTGTTAATGTTGCTGGTGCTAGTGGTGCAGTGAAGGTCCCAGGTACCTACTTACAGCTAGGTGAACAGGGGCAGCAGGTGTAAAAAAACACTCCCAACATTTCACCCGTGCCGAGGATCGACCCCGGACTCCTCAGCATGGAGCAGAGAACGCTACCAACCAAGCCACGGGCACGAACTTGAACTGAGATAGATAAATACTGAGATAGACATTTAGTGGACGATAATCAGTGTCTCGAAACAAACAAATTTAAATAAGTACTGAATGGTACGAATTTAAATAGGTACTGAGTGGTACAAATTTAAATAGGTACTAAGCGGTACAAATTTAAATAGGTACTGAATGGTACGAATTTAAATAGGTACTGAGTGGTACAAATTTAAATAGGTACTAAGCGGTACAAATTTAAATAGGTACTGAATGGTACAAATTTAAATAGGTACTGAGTGGTACAAATTTAAATAGGTACTGATTGGTACAAATTTAAATAGGTACTGATTGATACAGATTTAAATAGGTACAGAGTTGTACAAATTTAAATAGGTACTGAGTGGTACAAATTTAAATAGGTACTGATTGTACAATTTAAATAGGTACTGAGTGGTACAAATTTAAATAGGTACTGAGTTGTACAAATTTAAATAGGTACTGATTGATACAGATTTAAATAGGTACTGAGTGGTACAAATTTAAATAGGTACTGAGTGGTACAAATTTAAATAGGTACTGAGTTGTACAAATTTAAATAGGTACTGAGTGGTACAAATTTAAATAGGTACTGAGTGGTACAAATTTAAATAGGTACTGAGTGTACAAATTTAAATAGGTACTGAGTGGTACAAATTTAATAGTACGAGTGTACAATGTAATAGGTGGTACAAATTTAAATAGGTACTGAGTGGTACAAATTTAAATAGGTACTGAGTGGTACAAATTTAAATAGGTACTGAGTGGTACAAATTTAAATAGGTACTGAGTGGTACAAATTTAAATAGGTACTGAGTTGTACAAATTTAAATAGGTACTGAGTGGTACAAATTTAAATAGGTACTGAGTGGTACAAATTTAAGTATGCATTAATACTTTAATACTGAGTCGGGCTGTGGAACGGTTTTATAAGAGCTGGTGACGAGACGGGGAGTAGTTAGGTGAACACCTGGTGTGTACCTGGGAGGGTATCAGGGGTCAACGACCCCTGGTTTGTGACCAGGCCTCCCGGTGGATTAGGGCCTGATCAACCAGGTTGTTACTCCTTGCCGCTCGTTAAACTGACGTACAAATCATAAACCGGCTGGTCATGTACTGATTTTAGGTACCTGTTCAACTCGCAGTGTTGCAGTAAAGTTAGGATGATGAGGTGATTCATCACGTCAGACTACTTCCATCACTTCATCTTCCTCTCCCACCAAAGCTGACCTCTCCCACAGTGTAGTTCATCTTTGTATTCCACTGATGAAGCCTGCAATACAGGACAAACCTTTGCTCAATAAAAATTCTTATTACGAACACAGGTTTAGTACTGTGACCTGCACACCTGGTTGTAGTGCGATAACCAAGGTAGAACTGAGGAACCAGCAAAAGTCAGCAGTGAGTAAATACTTATATATATATTTCCTTCACTAAACAGTATATACAATATATATACACAATATATATACACAATATGTACAATACAAATTTTACAAGAAAGAAACACAGTGAGAACTGTGGGTGACCAGACTTGAGGTAAGTCTACCAGTGTTGATTCACAAGTCTCCAACATCGCTTCACAACCTTGGTGCGCTGTCTTGTGATTGGCTGGATCGAACAAGGTACAAGCATAACAATGGGGGCCCCCACTTATCATTTGTTTACTGGTCAGGAGTGCATGTCTATATGAGGTGTGACATACACCGAATATAACATACTCCTAGCATGCCACACTTCATTATCAACTTGTTGGTTTTACGTACCATTTATATCAAGGGTTTATAACCGGGGGTATCCATACCTCTTGGTGGTACAGGAACCAAATCATGGTGTTATTGTTGTAACAATAAAATAATCACCGTAAACAAAACTGACTGAGGCTGCGAGGCCACTAACTGGGCTGGATATGAAACAGTTTCAGTGAGAACAGATCTCACCTTGACGAGGACGGTAATGAAAGTTGTAAATCCCTTCACAGTTATTTGTCTCTAATAAACAGGATTCTCAACATTACTGCTGAAATCAAAGTGGAGATGATAGCGCGTAACATCAGTAACTGTACCTCGACTCCATGTTTCGATTGCGCAAAAACAACAAAAATCTTGCTAGTTGTAGCTAATTTGTGTATTTGTTATGTGCCGGTTTTCTGTAAATAGATATGATAAAATTCTTATGATTTTCTATCAGCTGTTCTTTTGCTAGCTATCTCCACATGTATAGCCAAGATATTGACATCTTTTGAAGTCATACTGGTGCCTAACAAGACTGGTGGTAAACTAAGCTATTGACATCTTTTGAAGTCACACTGGTACCTATTAGAACTGGTGATGCTCATGATGATTTCGACAGTTTGTGAAGGCATTGGTACTGGTATGACGTACTAGACAATCCACTGGGGATCTGTAATCGTAAAAAGGTTAAGAACGGATGATTTATATGACAGGTGAGAGGGTTGTCTGGGGTGGAGGAGTGAGCTGCCGTGTGTCTAGGTGTTGACTAAGGTACACACCATGTGGATGCCTCACGTGGGTGTTGACTAAGGTACACACCATGTGGATGCCTCACGTGGGTGTTGACTAAGGTACACACCATGTGGGTGCCTCACGTGGGTGTTGACTAAGGTACACACCATGTGGGTGTTTCATGTGGGTGTTGACTAAGGTATGCACCATGCGGGTGTTTGACTTGAGTATCAGGTGTTGTATCTTGGCGACGGAGGTCAGGTTCTATACCACGATGATCAGAAATAAGTCCCTGAATGATGGAGCCTCAGGGCAGCGTTTTCTGACGGCAGTATGGATCATGGTGGACCAAACCGTCAAGGAAGGTTCCTTGATGCTGGTGACGCAGATGGGCTCTTATCTAAGAAACTGAACTTGTGCTCCCCTTCCTTCGAAGGGGATTTCTCCCATTCACACCATTCTTCTAGGCGCTATATGACCCATACGAGGTTCAATGCTCCTCCATAATGTATGAATAATAATGAGTAGGCAGCTTATGTCCTGTATAATTGTTGTGTGTGTGAATGGTATAGAATTTTATGTTCGTGTATGTTTTGGAACAAAATAGAATGACCTGGAAGCATTTAAATCTGTAAGGAAAGGAAAGTGGGGTAGGGGTAGGCCTAGAAAAGGTTGAAGGGAGGGGGTACAGGTGGTTTTGTGTGCGAGGGGCTTGGACTCTCAGCAAGTGTGCGTGAGAGTGTTAGGAGTGAATGGAGACAAATGGATTTTTGACTTGATGTGCAGTTGGAGTGTGAGCAAAGTAACATTTATGAAAGATTTAGGGAAACCGGTTAGCCAGACTTGAGTCCTGGAGGTGATATGTACAGCGCCTGCACTCTGAAGGAGAGGTGGAGATATGTTGCAGTTTTTAAACTATGGTCTCGGTGCGCCTCTGACAAGGACAGTGATGGAGTGAGAGATGATGATATTTTTTTCTGGGTCACCCTGCCTTGGTGGGAGACTGCCGTTGTGTTATTTTTTTTCATTTATTTGTTCAAGTGTCAAATCTTGTACCCATTAAAGCAGATAATGCTATTAAACGAGAGGTGTACTGTATGTCTGATGGCTAGTTTCACCGTATAAACAATCTTTCCTGCACATGTATATTTTCCCACATTCAGTGGCAATTTTTTTTATGTTAATCTCCAGGGTTTATTATCTGGACCTCAGCATGAGAGTGGCTACTCTCACCGCTGGACAACGGCGACCAGTGGCAAGATATGTGTGTTAATATTGTGTGTTGATACGTGTCAGCTGAGATGTTTGTTAATCCTGAGTCTCACCAAGGTGGTTAACATACAGGTGCTCCTTCTATATATTAAACTAAGACAATTCTAGATAATAATAATAATAATAATAATAATAATAATAATAATAATAATAATAATAATAATAATATCTTTATTTATTACAAGTACATGTACAAGGTATACAGACCATAGCTGACATCAGTGACATACTACTATATAGAAAGCCACTTGTTATGCTGAGCATTTCCCGCAAATTAGGTTAGTTTTGTCCCAGGATGCGACCCACGTCAGTCCACTAACAACCAGGTACCTATTTTACTGATGGGGAACATAGACAACCGGTGTAAGGATACACGCCCACTGGTTTTACCCTCGCCGAGAATTGAACCCGGACCCTCGCCGTGTGAAGCGAGAGCTTTAGCCACCAGGCCACGGGACACTATGATGGATATCGTTTTTCTTTGCATGGGAAGTGGGGAGATAATGTGTATTATATGGACTCTGCATCACCAGAGTCTTTATATCAAATATATCAATCATAACTAATCCCATATAGGTTAGGTCAGGTTTGTCAGGAAACAGGACAA